AAATTGAGACGAATGTCAGGAACATGCCTCACATCTTTAAGCAATAACTTGTAGCCCAAATTTGTTTCCAAGCAAACATCACCCATGCCAATAATCTTGGACAAAATTTTATTACCCATTCGAACAGAACCATAATCTTCTTTGGTGTACGTAGTGAAGAAATCAACTCGAGAAGTCATATGAAAAGAAGCACCAGAATCATTCACCTAATTGCTCTCTTGGCCCACAAAATTGATACATTCATCTTCACAAACGACCATGAGATCACCATTGGTTGTAACTACCGTTGTGTCTTCTTGCTTCTTATCCACACTGTTGTTACACCTTTTCTCCTTGTTCTTGAGTTTTTGGCATTTCCGCTTCATGTGCCCTTTCTCATGACAATAATAACACTCAATGTCTTTCTTTGAAAAAGAACTATCTCTTGATTTGTCACAGCTTTGATCACGACCATGAGGAGTCGTACTCCTCCCCCTTGTTTGACTTTGGCCTCTCACAACAAATGTTGCTGAATGAGAGGAACCTGCTGATTTTCTTCTAGTTTCTTCATTCAACAAGCTACTAGTGACTTAACCCATTGTGACAACTCCATCGGGCGCCGAATTACTAATTGTCACAACCAAAGTCTCCCAACTTTCGGGTAAATAACTAAGTAGCATCAAAGCCTGCAACTCATCATCAAAAACAATTTTCATAGAAGCAAGTTGGTTAACAATACTCTTTATTTCATTCAGATGTTCCGGAATATGGCTGCCTTCTTTATATTTTAAATTAACCAACTTACGAAATAGAAAAGCTTTATTTGTGGCTGATTTCTTATCATAAAAGGCCTTCTAATTTTTTCCATAAATCATATGCGGAAGTTTCAGTAGCAACATGATGAAACACACTGTCATCAATCCATTGACGGATAACACCAACGACTTTTCGATTAAGCCTTTTCCATTCATCATCTTGCACACTCTTGGGTTTGCCACAATCACCCTCAATAGGCCCATACAAATCTTTACAAAATAATAGGTCCTCCATTTTAGTTTTCCAAGTTACCTAATTGCTTTCATTGAAGTTAGACATACGACACAAATTAATAAACCCAAATAAACCGTAAGCTCTGATACTAGTTGTTAGAGAAAATATATGATTTCTCACAAGTAAATTAATCAATGGGAATAAAAACTAATGTGGACAAATTAAATCAAAAGCAACACAAGAAATTTACGTGGTTCCCTCAATGTGAGGTACATCCACGGGATCGAAATCCGATTCCACTATCAACCAAATAATTCCAAACGATTACAAACGAGACACTAATGGTCTCACAAAACCACCCTTAGGTGAATTCCAAATAATCACAAATAAACAAAGAGGAAAGACCTCACCAAATAGAAGAACCAAAATCTTCAGAACCAGAGTTGTAGAAGATCCAAAATAACGAACCAAAAATTGATTGAATTGTTATTGCTATTGAGATACATCGAATTCATTGGTTAAGTGAAATGTTGATCAAGGAAATATAAATTATGTTTTGAACTTTATTGAACTTCATTCATTTAACTCCTTTATACTGTTATTACTCACTGGGCCCTAACTCACTATTTATATGTATATATATATATATAGGTGAACAGGCTGAGCATCAAGTCTAGTGGAAGCCTTGAAGTCAACCCCGTGTAAGCTATTTTGAAGTACTTCCGAGATGAAGCGAGCTTGGGTTTGAATGGAGCCAAGCATGGTCAAACCTTTTGTCTTTTCCTTTTGTTTTTGTCATTTTGGAATTTGTAATGGATGTAAAGTTTGGATGAATGTTGTATGACAAATGTTTAAACTGATGTTTGAAAGTTTATGTATAAAATGAAGTCTTTCATATAAGCATTGCTCAATGGATTATCTATTATGTTTTATATTGTTTTCACTATGCCCGGCAAATTATATTAAGATTGATTTTGTTAATTGAGGCTGTAGGTAATCTGGGATTACTGACCGGTCATGACTGTAAACCTATAAAGGTGGGTTTGGGTCATGATAGTTACATTGATGGGGAGATAAACTAATATTTGCTAATAGTAGAGGGGGTCTTTGTGTAATTGACCATATATATATACACTAGAGGTGGGCAAACTCAATCTGTAATTAATCTGATAATTATGACAATTATTTGAAATAGTTGGATTTAAGATATTTTAAACAGTTTTAAGAAATTATTATATTCTGAGGACATTTTGAAAAATTAAAAAAAAAAACGTGACAGTTGCACCAAAAGAAGTATTGATTTTATATAAGGAAATTCTACTATACACACTTCCTACCATATGCACTCTTAAATTATGTCATTTTTTTCTTTAGTTATGATCAATTTTCTTCTTTTCCTATGATCTTATTTTAGTTATGACTCGTGAGATTTTTGGTTATATCTCATGTGTTGTTTGGTTATGGCTTTGTTTTTTAGTTATGATTCAGAAAGTATGAAATTATGCCATTTTTTTCTTTACTTATAAGGTGCATACATTTGAGGGGTGTATACCATAGTCTTTTCTTTTATATAATAGTATAGGAGATGGCTTCTGGAGCATACTGTTGGGTACGTAGGGCCTACCATGAGCCTAGTTTCGATAATTTGAACCGTTCAATGTGTAGATCTCGTTGAGTACTTTATGCCTGTAAAAAATCACATTAATCGGATATCGGTAGCCCCTTGAACGAAACACATTTTTGTTCATGGTAAATATGATTTTAAAAATAAATTGTTAACAAAAATGAGTTTCGATCAGGGGGCTACTAATATCCAATCAACATGATTTTTTGCAAATATAAAGTACTCGGCAAGCTCTACACATCAAACAATTTGGATTATCGAAACAGGACCCGTGGTGGACACTACGGACCCAATAGTACGCTTCAGTCTATATAACTATGTGGACTTGAGAGAAGTCCCTCCCAATAATATATATATACATATATATATATATATATTTACAAAAAAATATGCCAAAAAAATATATATTTAAACACAAAATTAATCACATAAAATAATTTTGATCATACATATCACATTATTTAACTCATTATAAAATATATAATTTTTTCCCAATTGCTCCACTCATTTTCATATGATAAATTGTATTCGATTTTATGTTCGTAGACTTGTGTGCTTTTGGAATAACATCCACCATATGGTTGGTCAGTCAAGATGTGGAAAATTACCATACGCTTGGTCAGTAAAGACGTGGAAAATGCATTTTGGCTCCAGTAGTTTGTCTCCCAACAATGATATTCACCATATGTTTGGTCAGTCAAGATGTGGAAAATGTATATTGCCTCTAGTAGTTTTTGTCTTTGCTCCCAACATTTGAATGGAATGATTATTTTATTAAAATATTTATTTTTATATTTAATTAACTATAAAAATAATATAAAAAAACCATAATAATGATTTATTTATTTTTTACAAAAAGACATATAAAATAATAAATTAATTAATTAATTAATTTTTAGTAATGACTTTTTACATTGTAAAAACAATTCTCACTTTTATTGAAAGTGGAACGCCATCGCTCCATCTGGCTATAACATTTCCAGTCGCTCCACACACTTGAATGATCTCTGGCCATGAATGTGGCAGGTTGCATAGCATAATGACCAAATGTAGTGAAAAGACAGACAAAGCATCCACAGTGCCTCTTTTTTCTTTCACTTTTTAAATTCTTGCTCAAATTAATGATCCAAACAAAAACCTTTCTTCCAACATAACGTGAATGGAAAGTAATAAATAAATAAAAAACAATAAAAAAGAAAAAAAGTTGGGAGTGCTGCTGTGCCCTATTGTGGAAGGTTGTCCCGAGTGTCTTTCGATAATCTGAACCGTTCTTATTGTAGGGTTCGTAAAAAATATTATTTCTGTAAAAAATCAAGTTAATTGAATATTCATAACCCCATGATTAGATCCTAATTGTTTTTAAAAATTTATGAAAGTTATGTTAACCGTTAATTTTTATAAAAACAAATGTGTTTTTATTATAGGTTGCAGAAATCCAATAAACTTGATTTTTTGTATAGATGATTTACTCGACGAACCTTACAACATAAATAGTTCGAATTATGGAAAGAGGCCCAGAACGACACTCCACAAAAGGGCACAGCAGCATTCCCAAATGCACTAAAAGAATTAATTTAAGCCTTAGTCAGCCACCCCCGAGTCAGAGTAAGAGTCAGTCAATTAACGTGTGTGTAGATATAATGCGTACTGATTAATGGCAACTCAACTAGTGCTATATTGGACTTCAGAAGACAGCCCCTTTCTTCATGCACAAAGTCTTTGTCGTTGCTCGTGTTGTTAGTGGCCACAAAGATAATTTCAAAGAGTGAGTAGTGGTATGCATCTGATGGGAGGGAAAATTTGACACGCAATTGTTGAATGGGAAACAATTTTCACTCCAATACGCCCCAAAACCAACGGATTAAGCTAAGAATCCCACTAGAACAGTAAAAATAACAAGTAAAGATAGTACAGCAGCGGGTACCAAAAATTTAGAAATGCACTTATTCATGACATATTAGTTCAGAGTTACCTCGGAACATTTCCAACTCTTTATTTGTATACAATAATTTTTTTCATTAGGATCTCATTTGCCTATAATAAAATTAAATGAGTTAAACTGTAGCTAATCTGCTTGCAGTTTCTCGTGCTCAATCCTGGCTAACTTATTCTCATAAGTTATGATTATAGCGAGTGGATTTCTCATATATCACAAATGAACATGACATCAGACAAATATATATATCTATGATAGTAATTTCACAAGATGATATATATATATATACAAATCAAGAAAAGTGCAACAACCTAATATTATGCGTTATATGGCAATGTTTCTAATGTAAATTGAAATCCTAAAACTTAGCATCCCCAAAATAACAAAACAAAAACACACACAACAAAAATAAAAACCTTAAAAGATTATTCAATTTGCAAAAATTTGTTTGTCAAAGTCTCCTTTGTTTACCTTGGTCTTGATAGAGCTAATGGAGACAATAGAGTACAAGCAGGGCCAATGGCATCCTCTTGCTGACCAGCATTTGCAATTGTTCTTCGTATCACAGGATTTCTGAAGTTATAATCCAAGTTATTATCAACATCAACAGAACCCTCCAAGACCTTAACCACCACTGACATGGAAGGCCTCTTAGAAAAATCATTTTGTAGACACCACACAGCAACCCTCATCATCTCCACAACTTCTGTACTATGTAATTGCATTTCATCATTGCCTTTATCAATGATATCGATCAATCGTTCCTTTTCGGCTTTCCTTTTAAATAGACTTAGTAAATGCATATCTTCCTCGGGTTGAGACCTGTCCAAATTTTTTTGTCCACACAACATTTCCCATACCACAACTCCCTGTTTGGTACAGCTTTTTTTCAGCTTATTTCAGCTTTCAACTTAATTTAAGCTATTTTGATGTGTTTGGTTTAGCTTAACAATACAGCTTATAGCTTTTTGTAAGTCAGAAATCAGCTTATTCTTTGAGTGGGGTAGGAGATGCTTAATTTATAAGTCAGAAATCAACTTATGTTCATAGTTATAAGCTATAAGCTGTTAAGGCATAAGCTATAAGCACTTTCCCATAGCTTTACCAAACAGGGCCTATGTCAGGAAAACAATCTAATCAGATCCTCGTGATTATTGAGCCCAACCATTCAGGAGCCATATTGCCTGGTGTTCCCCCCAAAGTTGTTAAAACTTGGCTTTGGTCCTTATCAATTAGTTTTGACAATCTGAAATCAGAAATTTTTGCATTGAAGTATTCATCTAAGAGGATGTTTTGGGGTTTGATATCCAAGTGAAATATTTTCTGCTTGCATTCCTCATGGAGATAGGATAGACCCTTAGCTATCTCCATGATGATCTTTCTTTTGGATTGCCGCCCAAGACTGGACCGTCCAATCTCGCCCATGGGCCCATTTTTGGGCAATCTGAATCGTGCAATGTGTAGAACTCGTTGAGTACTATATCCCTGTAGAAAATCATGTTGATTGGATATCGATAGTCATTTGATCGTATCAGATTTGTATAGAAAAAATGGACAATAAAAAATAAACAGTTGACAGAAATTTGAATCAATCAAATAGCTATCAATATTCGATCAAACTAATATTTTACGAGGATATAGTACTCGACGAGTTCTACACATTGAACGGTTCGGATTATTGAAACGAGGCCCAAATATGAGCCCATGGGCCGGACTGGATGGTCCAGTCTTGATCATGAGACAAGCTGGACCAATTAAAAAAATAGAATAAGAAATGACTGATAAATTTATTTATTTTTATTCATATAAAATATGTTTTTCATCCAGCACATACATCTTTAGTGTAGTTAGTGTAGCAAAAATAAATTTAATATACTTTTTTTTTTCCCCCTTTTCTTTTTTCTTCTTCTTGGTGCACTTGCCTTGACTCGATAAAATTTCTAGGTGTGCCATGCTCTAAATATTTTTTCAAATTGCCTCAGAATTTTTCACGAGTTTGAATGATTCCTACTGATATTTTTCTTTCTGTCAATCACGGAGACTCATTTTTGTTATGACAATCGAGTCCACATTTGAACAATTTGCTTCTACTTATGGCATTTGAGTCCACACAACCGCCAAAACTTTCTTCTTCTTTTTCATCATCCAATTAACACGGTATAGACCTAGTTAATCTATGAATGGAATTGTATGCATCAATCTGAGTCATTAAGCAATGTTGATTGTAATATTTATCTATATATATGCTAATAATTTAGAAGGCTCGAAGATGTTTCATTCGATAGGTAGGTCACAATTATTGAATGGTTGCAAGGGATAGCAAAATTCCCTGACCCGATTGTATTTGTTCCAACCCAATTTTAATATAAATGGTTTGAAAGAGCATTGATTGGGTAGGGTAAAGTATAATTATAGGCAAGTCAAAACTATCAAGTTTATAATAAAGTATGAAATTGTATCAATTGAGTTTAAAAGCAAAAATTGAGTGCAAAAACCCGAAAAACCCTATCTATTGCCATCCCTTTGCATACCACCTTCTTAATTAGTGATGAAAAAGACAGCATCTAATTTACACATACTATCTAATTGATCAATAATAAGTTAGTGTTATGTAATATGTGTGTGTAAATTGATACTCTGGAAAAAGAAAAAAAAATGATATATTCCACAACTGGTCAGCACTGTTAATTGGCTTGATTAACCTCAACTAAGCTCTTGCAGTTATCGTGAAGTTTCATTTTTTTTTTTTAATTATTTCTTTTTATGATCTTTCTGTCAATGTAATGTGAATGGAAAGCGCGTACAAAATATACAAATGGTCCGTAAATTCAGTGGACGGATCATAAAAGCTCATACAATACAACTTGTGTGTTGATTGGAGTTGGTCAATACCAACGGCACCTGTTGCTGCTATATTGGACATCCCCTTCTTCACGCACAGAGTCTTCGTCGTTGCCTCATGTTCCTGGTGAGTACCCCACAAAGACACAAACTGGTGTGATGATCGAGGGAAAATTTAACGAAGCAAGCAACTATGTCCCTCTCCTAATTAATGTTTAGGAATCTAGTAGGAACTTGGGCTTGGGGGTTTGGGGGCTTGGGCAACTATTTCCCATTTTGAAGTCTTGAATTGGTTCCGATGAGAGTATAGGTGGAATTATTGGATCTTAGTTCATCACAAGTTCAGGGATAATTCTATTTTTACACACCAATTTCCCTTACTCCACACACATCCCAAAAAAAATCTCAATACACATCACTTTATTCCAATAATATCATTATTTTCAATTTCAAAACCTAATCTTCATCAATCCACCCATCCCTCATTCGCTTCAGTTGCCGCCACTCTCAACCCTCTATCGCCACCACTACTGCCACCACCACTCCCAGCTCACCCCCTTCCATTCTAGACCTCCACAGTCAACCTTGAAGGTGGGTGGTCCGCAGTGGGAGACTTGCGGGAGTGTATAGTTCTAGTGTTTTAGAATTAGGGTTTGGGTGGAAAAAAAATAAAAGTATTATGGTGTTTTTATTCTAAGACAATTGAATTAAGAAATTTGTTTTAATTAAGTGTGTGAACTAAGGGAAATTAATATTTGAAAATAAAATTACTCCCAATTCAGTCCTCTTCAAGCTGGTTGTTAAACCAATTGGAATCATTGTGATGAGCAATTCTTCTCTCTATAATTGAGACTTATGATTGGGAATCTCCATTCATCGACATACTGATCAGGGCATTCAATTAATGTAATCATTTGGGATGAATTATTCCTATTTCTTTCATTTGCAACTCCTTCATTCAAAGATATCTTGAAATTGTGAAAGGGAAACTGCTCAAATACACCCAAAATACACCCAACTGATGTTGAATTCAAAACCATCGAATTAAGTAAAGATTCCAAAATGGACCCAAAAAAAAAAAAAACAACAACAACAACAACAAAGAAGAAGAAGAAGAAAGAAAGATATTGCAGCAAGTGTCGAGACATATTAGTTTATTCCTGGTTGGGGAACATTTCCAACTCTTTATTTGCATTCACTATTTATTTATTAGGATCTCATTTACCTATAATACAATTAATGATGTAGCTAAGCTGCTTACAGTTTCTCATACTCAAACCCTGGCTACCTTATTCTCACAAGATAAGATGGTAGGGTGGATTTCTGATATATGACAAATGCACATGACATCAAACAAATATATCTATGACAATAATTTCTTGACAGATATATATATATATATACATTCATCAAGTAAAGTGTAACAACAAAATATTATTGCCTTGAGCAATCTGCAAAAAATTGTTCGTTGAAGTCTCATTTCTTTACCTCGGTCCAGACAGAGCTGATGGAAACAATAGAGTAGTGGCAGCACTAGTGGCATGCTCTTGTTGACCTGCAGCTGCAATTGATCTTGGTATCGCTGGATTTGTGAAGTTATAATCCAAGTTCTTTTCAACATCAATGGAACCCTCTAAGACCTTAACCACCACTGACATGGAAGGCCTCTTGGAAAAATCACTTTGTAGGCACCACACAGCAACCCTCATCATCTCCACAACTTCTGCTCCATGTAATTGCATTTCATCATTGTATTTATCAACAATATCATTCAATCGTTCCTCTTCTGCTTTCCTTTTAAATAGATTAAGTAAATGCATATCTTCCTCAGGCTGAGACCTATCCAAATTTTTCCGCCCACACAACATTTCCAAGACCACGACACCAAAGCTATAGACATCTACTTTCTCGGTGATAATTGAGTTCAACCATTCAGGAGCCAAATAGCCTGGTGTTCCCCTCAAAGTTGTTACAACTTGGCTTTGGTCCTTATCAATTAGTTTTGACAATCCAAAATCAGAAATTTTAGAATGTTTTGGGGTTCGATATCTAAGCAAAATATTTTTTGCCTGCATTCCTCATGGAGATAGGTTAGCCCTTTGGCTATATCCATGATGATGTTTTTTCTAGATTGCCACCCAAGTGTGAGCTCTTGGTGCCTTTGGAAGATCCATGTATCCAAGGATCCTTTGGACATGTACTCATAAACTAGAAGACGATACGATTTTTTAGCACAAAATCCAATTAATCTCACCAAATTAACATGGTGAATGCTGCCTATTGTCTGAACTTCAGCTAAGAATGACTTCTTAACTTGACCAAAACCATTGAGGCGCTTCACTGCTACATTAGTGCCATCGCTTAATGTCCCTTGAAACACTGACCCAAATCCTCCTTCCCCAAGCTTATGATTGAAATTGTTTGTCATGGCTCTCAATTCTTCGTACGAGAATCTAGTAGGCATCCCTGGTACTTGATCCACAAAGAACTCATCAAAATCATCAAACTCTCGTTTCTTCTTGAAAAGGAAAATGCAAGAGGCAACCACAAAAAATACACCAAAGAAAGCTCCGAAACTGGAACCCAATATAATCGTGACTTGTCCTGATTTCTTTTGAGGAGAATTTGTTGGTGGAGGAATCGTGACTTGTCCTGATTTCTTTTGAGGAGAATTTGTTGGTGGAGGAATATGATATTGTGCAGTTGGAGATTTCTGCACTGTAAGAAATATCTCATCCCTTCCCTCATTATTTATGAGAGAAAACACTTCCGACAATAAAAAGCAAGCGTTCAAATCATATGCAAAGAAAGCAGCTTTGCATGAACAGTTTTTCTAGCAATTCATTTTGCAATCCTCTAACCCTGTTTGTTCACTCAAGTGGTATTTGTTTGTGATGCGTGCGTTAGAGTAAAAGTAACTAGTATTCTTAAGCCCCAAAAGGGTTTGATATTGAGAATTGTTACAAGAAATGGGTGTAACAAGGGAACATCCAAGGTTGGGTAGCCTACTATTTATTTGCCTGAAAGTGTGGTTGCTGGTGGCTTCCTCAAGACAACCGCACTGTCCATTTGAAGAACAGATGCCATAATTGCCACACACCATCGGATAACCACAGTCACCAATAGCAATATGTGATGTCAGCAGATCAGCCACCACATTCCAATTCGATCCTCCCCACTCATAAACCTTCAAATGCCCATCAGGATCCAACCTTATGAACTGAGCTGATGATGATGCAGCAGGGATTAGCTGCCCGTTGAAGCTTTCATTCTCGAATTTGAAATAATTCGTCTGTGAATAGTATTGAAGATAGGACCAGGGTGGATTGGATTCTACATAAGCCGACAGAGAGTAAAAATCAGGTGGTTCAAATTGAGCAGCAAGAGAAAACAAACCTTGACTCCAGTTTGATGCTGATGTGCTGGAGGTGAGCTTCCGCCCAAGAACCAAATCCTGGCCAACAAGTAAGGAGTCAGTTGGGTGATGGAAAGACTGCCAAACCATTGCATTGTTTCGATCAAAGAGGACGAGATTTCCATCTTCAGTCAAGTTTAAGCCTGAGACAGAGTGATTTCCTCCGCCAGTGTATGTAGACCAGACAGAAGTGCCATCGGAGTCTGACAAAGTCAAGTTTCCATCCTGAGTGAGTTGCAAGGTTGCGTTAAGTTTTACAGGATGGTTTCTATTAGCCGACCAAACTAGTTGCGGGGCATCTGCTATTGCATCTTGTTCAATGGAAGTTTGTTTTTGGATGAGGACACCAACGATGCAGGCAGTGTATGCAAAATCGCAGCAGAAGACGAGAGAAAAACGCGATCGAAGGCCTCTTCGAAGTAGGATTGGTCTCCATAAAAAGTCCGGTGCTACGAGGGCCGGTGGGGGATCGTTAATAATGGTCCATGAAGTGGACACAGTGGCAATTGGATAATCCACAGGCTGGGCATTCACCAAGTGGAAGGAGGAGGAACACATGAGAGATGTTAAAACCAGAACAATAGCACAACACAAACAACTCCTCCGTTGATCATCCATTATAGCTTTTGCTAATTAGAATGATAGGCAAATACAATGGAGACCTCCTTGGATGTGTTGTTGGAACATATATATTTATGAAATTCTGTAGCTTAAAAAAAAAACTCTAAGAAAAGAGATAAAGCAAGTTCAAGTGCTTTTGTAATGATATCCACCCCACACATTCGGTCGGTAAAGAACAAGATGTGGAAAAGTATATGAAAATGCTATTCACTGTAAAATTGTGTCTCGAATTTTACTCTGAAAATCAGATGAATGGCGTAGATACCTAGAATAATTATGGTCTGTAAATATATTTTAATTTTTTAAATATTTTTTCTGAGTTATAACCAGTGTGTTTGGTTTCAATTTTTGGGATTCAATTTTCTGAAAATTGAGTTTTTTTATTTTTCGTATTTTTTTGTTTTTAGTGAATATTTTTAAAATTTTAAGTAATTTTTTTATTTTTTTGGATGCACCATACTTAGATGTGTCTAAAAAGTAAAATATTTGTAAACAAATATTTTAAAAAATCAATAAATATACGAGAATATGAAAAATATACTGAATTCTCTTTTTTTCTTGTATTTTTGAATTTTCTATAAAAAAAATTCACAAATATTATACTTTTTAAGTATATTTATGTTAAGTGTATCTAAAAATTAAAAAAAAATGCTTAAAAATATTTAAAAATTCAGTGAAAGCAAAAAAAAATACGAAAAATAAAAAATTTAATTTTTTGAAAAGTAAATTTTAGAAATCAAAACCAGAGAGTGAATATTATTGAAAACTATATATATACATATATATTTTTTCTTCACCAATTTTAGTTTGTGCTTGAGATATTTGCTTGAGATATTTCCTTACTATTAATCATTTTGTAACACGCTTTTCGAGCCAACCATGTGTGTCTACCTCATAATTTAGTTTTTCTTGCATATTCAAATTAATTATATTAAAATACCCTCAATTATTAGTAATATTACTTTACCTTATTCATTTATAAATTCGCATATATTGACCCATTCAATTATAAAATCGTACCAATATATTCTTTTTTGAAGTGATTTGGAGAGAAAATGATACATTTTTAAAATTGAAAGTGTTAAAATATACAAGTTTATAAATGAGAAAGATAAAATGGCATCCGCTAAAGAATTTTAATATAATTAACCTAATTAAGAACAAACAAACATTATTCTCTCATCTTCTGAAAACAGAGTTTTGCAAACGCTACTGTAACATTTTACAGGCGAAATTATTCAATAGTCTAAAGACTAATACCAATACTTGATTTTATTCCATGTTTAAATTGGCTTAAGATTGTAAAGATGAAATGAATAGTCCAAATCTCTTTTTAGTTCATTTTGTACCTCACCGTCCCCTTGGAATTCAGTTGTCCTTTGTTAAAGTAAAAATGTAAAGATATTGACTTTAGTATAATTAACCCCCAAGTCAATCTATTATGTTGTTTGCCGTTATTTATAAGTTCAGCTATTGACTAGTTATATAAACAGTTAAAATTTATATGCATTTTAAAATTCAATTAATCTAATCAAACAGATTAAACAGTTTTATTTATTTTTTAATTTTTCTTTCCTATCTTTTTCCTTTCGTAAAAATATCTTTTACATTCCATATATCAAACATCTCATTCAAAAATTCCATATATTAAAATATCTTTTGCTTGTGCTATAATTAAAACATCTCATTCAAAAATTCTAGCCTTCGAGTATAGCATTTAACCCTACTTCAATTTTATCAATAGAATATCATGAGCAAAATACATAGAAACCTCCACAAATCCCTCAAATCCAAGATCGAAAACAACATTTAGGACAAAAGGAAAAGGAAGAAAAGTGCACTTAAGGTATTCCTATATCTAAGTTCTCAACATCTGAACAACTAGCAGGGACAAAAATTTAATGAATATCATAGAATGCATTTCGCATCTCGATGTAAAATAAAATGTACAATCGACGGCATATAAAGTAAACTATCCCATAATGAATGGGCTCGACCAGCTAATAACTGTGGACAGAAGGTTGAATAAAAGTTGTCTCGACACTCTAAATCTACAACTTCCTTTTCTCCACCACCAAATTGATAGAAGAACCGCAGAAACAGAACAGAAAAAGGTTGAAGAATGAAGATATCAATATGCCGGTGCAATCTTACAAGCTTCTCCACTGAGCCAACATGAGAATTATCAACCCCCTCCGGATAACATTTTGTCTGTACGGTCCTATATAGTGAAAACAACATATCACTAAATGTCACACAACCAATTAAGTAAATATTAGAGAGTGACTGAGGTTCGGTTAAAGCCTCTGAAAAGGAGTGAGGGTATCTCCTCAGATGCCTAAAGCTGAAAAACTCCAGCAATGCTAGTCAAAATAGTTATCGAAAATCTCACTTTCTATTTTAGCTATCCATTTTTTCAACGCACACTCTGACAAGAATTTCTACTTTAAATATCTTCCTTTAAACTATTCTTTGTTCCATTTTTTTTCTTTTTTCTTTTGTTTCAGATACAAATATATTTCTTAAATCGTCATATTTTTTCTTTCTTATTCACCGTTCTCTACAAAAATAGAAAGAGGAATAACAAAATCCAAACTCTTGAATGTTGACGCTCAATAGAACCCCTGACACTCCCAATTCCAGAAAAAGACAATTTCTTACACTAGTGATGATTGCCCCATTTTGTCAGTCGTTAAATCATAATGTGCCATACTGTTTCGACTGAAGGTAGCTTCTCCTAGTGTCGGTGGGTAGGCTTCAAATGAATTACAGTTTTGAGTTGTTAATCTTCTATTGTAAGGGAGTTTGGCCAAGAGTGTTTGGATATTAGTCCCTTTAAAAAGGCTATAATATGCTAAAATGTGAATTGGATCTTAGTCTTTGATGTTGGGATCACGATCCCACCCAAGACCTTATAGAAAATATACCAAGTAGTAAAACATACTCATGCTCAAGGACACATCATATTTAATGTGGTTCGGCCTTAATGCCTACGTCCACGGGAGAGAAACCAGTTATCACTATAACAATAAAGAGATTACATAAAGATTACAATAGAGGAGGAGCTCACACTCTCCTCACTCACCCACTCACCCATCTCCCTTGCTCACACCAAGAGAGACAGTCTTTTCTGCCTTACATCTCTCACTCTCTTTTGTTTGCTCTCTTGCTCTCTCTCTAATTCCTGTGATCTCTCTTCTTCTCTATATACATCATTAAGCAAGAAGAGAAGACCATGGTTAGTGGGGCGGTTGCCACCCCCACTCATTAATGGGAAGGTGCCACCCCCACTCTCTCCAAAAGTGCTCTCCAAGTGGTGCAATGATCACCCCTCACTTGGGTGATATCCAACATTTGACCTACTGTGAAAGATGACCCCAATTGTTCGAGTCTCAGTCTTGGCTGTGTGAGGCTCACCAATCCGGTGCCATAGTGGGCATATTTAACCATCCTTGGAGCAGAATATGTTCCACCTACCAATCTCTAATTATTTTAGACACAGTGCAAACAAGTAGAAAAAGAAACAATATAAAAGTACATGAGAAGACCAAATTAAGACAACACAGATGCATTCTCTACTTTGTATGTCGAAATCAGGCAGGTACATGAGAAGTAGAAAGTGGAAATGAAACTGAGTCTCTGCATTCTTCATAATTTGAAGCTTCTATCAAATGAAAAGAATGAAGACTCAGTGCACCTAAAGCACAAAATAGTCTTATGATCTTAAACATGTTACAGTAATCAATAGATTAGCAAAGAGTAAGGCTCAACTAATGCACAATCACATTCTTTTAAAGAGGATATGGCTTGAGAGGCTTACCGAAGTTTATTTATCAGATTCAACTGTATGATTACCAAGCTCCCATGGGCCTTCATCTTGATCATCCATCTCGTCAAGAATAACATATTTTGCAGCTGGATTGGTTGTCAATGACCTGGCCACATTCTCTTCACCTAATTCACCCTCTTGTAGCTTTTGGTATCTAAGAATTGCAAAAGCAAAAAAAATAAAAAATAAAAAATAAATAAAAATGGATTCACATGGAATTATATGACTTTGGCATAATGCACACTAGAAGTATATGAATCAAAGCTAAAAGAGCCAATTTGACTTTCTAAAGTAGAATATCATAAAGTTGTATATTAACTTATTAGGAAGACCAAGCCAACAGTGTTAAGTGAGGAGCTAATCAACTAGAATTGCCAAGAAGAATATCCATTTTCAATGTTCAAAAATACTGACAATACTAATAGCACTTTAGGTGAAAATTATTCACCATCAACATAACAACTAACTACAAAAGAAATTTTACCTTTATATATTCTGGTCGGATAATTTGAATTAAATTTCAGCTAAACAAAATAGTTTAGTGTTCAAATTAAAATTGAACGATAGAATGCAGTGTTCAAATTAAATTTTGTTTCTTTTGTATTTAGGGCAAAACATAGTGCAAAATCGCGCTTCTCTTGCATCAAACTCGCGATTCTTCTACGAATCTGAGTTAGAAGCACAGAATTGCGCTTTTGAGGAAGAATCGTGAGCAAGTTGAACGATTCCTGCTACTAAGAGTTTGAGAAATGTCAAATCTCTCATTTTTCTTCTTTTGTTGAACCTATGTTACCTAAAACGTGAATCGTTCTAGTATATAGAACGGGAATGGGAACGTGGTACGCCACATGCTTTAAAATGTGGTACGATAGGAGTAGACTTACATAGATTACATTTAAAAATTTAAGATACTTCTAGAATAATTTTCTTTTAACTATTAGGTATACAATAATTATTTATTTATTTTCATGTAGTAAATCATTCCTATGGAAATTATGACTCATTTTTTTATGTTTTTGTCTTGTCAAAACTTAACTCACCTTATATTATAGTTCATTATGTTTTATTTTTTTCCTCCTAACGTAACATTTAAGGAAATATCAAGATGATGCAAATAATACAAAACTGCAAAGGAAACTACCAATTACTAACCAATGATGTCATCTAAAAAATCTAACAAATCAAACAAATTAGAATCAACTTTCTCCTCCATCCAACTATACAAGACTGTAAGAAGACAACTCTCAATCCACGAAACACTGTGGTGGACCTCTTGAAAAGTTTGCCTGTTGCGCTCTAACCAAACCAACCACATCAAACAGAAAGGCACCAATAACCACACACGCCGTCGACGTCGACCAACCCAAGCTCCACGCCAACTCCACAACATATCCACCACTCTTTGCAGCTAAACCTAAGCCATCCCAAAAAGAGAGCACATGAGTGTAACAACCCTGATCTATGATTAGCGTTAATCCATGCTTAGTTATGCCTAATAAGTAATTAAAGTGAAATGTTGCATCATGTGTTGCCTTATATGTGTTTATATCTGTTTAACGTAGAAAGATCTGTTCATGATTCCTGTTTCGGTTTGCGAATTGAAGGTCTTATCGGCATCTAATTCAGAAATTGACTTGATTTATGTGTTATTTGAAATTTTTAGAACATTATGGTAGGTTTAATTAAAATTCGATTCGGAACGACTAAATTAGATTAATTTAATGCCCACTTAATTAGCCTCATTTAATTATCATTAAAGTGAGCCTATATAAGGCTTCTTATATGCTTTCACTCTTTTTCTTTTTTTTTTTATTTCAACACATTTGAGCTCACACACACAAGCAAAACGTGGGAGAGAGAGAGATAGAAGAAAATTGAGATCAAAAGTTGGGATATGAGAGAATTGCTAAGAATTATTGGAGATTTGTGAAGAATTTGGGAATTGAAGCTTTCTCACTTGTGCAATTTAGACTCTAGGTAAGAGTTTTAGTCTTTGACCTTGTAATGTAGTTGATTAATGTATGAAAACAAGTGAATTAGGTGAATTCATGGAGGAATTGAGCTAAAATTGAAGAAAGTTAAGTCATTCCATACATGCTTGCATATTTATAGCATTTTGAAGTTGTTTTAAAAGATTTTCCCCATGCATGTTGTAATTCTAGCATGAGTTAAAGAATTCATAACATTTCTCATCAATGGATCACATTTGATCATGTTTTAGAAGCCATGAACTCAAGTGAACACATGTATGTCATGTTCATACCATGTTCTTACATTTCAAATTGAATTTTTGCATGTTTGACATACTTTTGGGCCTTGATTTCATGAAATGATCTTCAAATCATAATGTTTTACAAGTTCTTGGATATTTTCCAGAATTTTGGCCCAAAAAGAAAAGTTTTAAAGTGCGGAATTCAAATTTGGAGCTTGGGAGTGCAATCTAGAAATTCCAAATTCTGCACTTCCGCTCGAGCGGCAACCTTTGTTTTTGCATTTCCACTCCAACGACCAAAAGTTCGCTCGAGCGTGAAATATATGCTCCCAGAAGTTTTGTGTTTTTGCAGACCGCTCAAGCGGCAAGAGTTGCGCTCGAGCGAGGACATAAGCCTCACGCTCGAGTGACTATCGAGCGTCTGTCGAGCGTGAAAATCACATAACCAGTACTTTTTTCAAAATTTGCAGAGCGCTCGAGCTCCCCTTACACATTGCTTGTCCGCTTGAGCAGGGGAAGCTACGCTTGAGTGGGGACCTTGTTTTCAGAAAATTTGACCAAGTGTTTTCAAATGCATTTTTGCATCCCCATTCCATCCTAGGCATTTTTAGGCCATGATTAAGACTCAATACAAGGTTAAGACCTAGAAGCACACTAGGAATGAAATGAAAGAAGTTAAGTGCCAACCGAGTGAGTGTTTCATTATGTGTTTCTGCTATGTACGTGTAGGTCACGTGCATCAAGTTATTTGATTTTCCTGTTCTGCAAGTGGAGCCATCAGTGAGTAATAACTCTGTAAAGTTATGTTTAACTTTAATTATTTTTTGATGCTATGAATGATCAGTGTTCTGAAATGCAATGTTTTGTATGAATGAATGATTGTCTAAATTTTTGTAATGTATTCGTGGCATCCTTAGCACAAGGCCCTTCCCCGGGGGTAACAACATCGTGCCTTTATAAGCAAGGCCCTTCCTCGGGGGTAATAATACCATGGTCTCATGGCCCTTGCCCGGGAGTAACAATACCGTGGTTCAAACAAGTTATAAGTTTCCTGGTATCAGAGGTTCCCAATGGAACTAACAAGCAAGTTAACGCTAATGGATGTACCATGTATATCGAAGCATGAACTTTGATTTCTGTATGAAGTTGAACAAGAAAATGAATATAAATCTGTTTTTGTTATGAATTTTAGTTTTCGATTCGGTTATAGACATCATTCATTAGAACCCTTTACTTTGTTATTATTCACTGAGCTCTAGCTCACTATTTATATTATGTATGTAGGTGATCAGACACATGACCAAGCACAGAGTTGAGGATCGAGCGTCTCATTTTTTGTCAGCCACCCTTCTGTGCCTTCCGGGGAGGTTCCCTTTCGAGATGTCCAGTTTGTAACTTTACCACAATCGTTTTTGCTTGTTTGCTTATCTGTAAACTGGGCTAAGTCCCCTTTTGGTTTCATCCTTATGAATGGATGACGCATGGTTAATGTATTTATGACTTTATATATATATATACAAGTTCGTTTTGAAGTTTTTCGTTTCATATATGTTAACATAGCTCTATGGACATTGTATATTCTCTATATTTGCTTCCGTAGCCTCTTACTATATGTTGTTTTGTCAAGAGGCCATTGGTAATCCACGGATTACTGGCCGGTTACAACACTAAACCTATAGGGGCGGGTTTGGCTCGTGACAATGATTCCCCACAGACGACTAGCCATCGGAAAATGCAAAAACAAATGATCCATTGGCTCAGGGTTAGCGTAACACATACAACACCGATTGACTAAAAAATGACCGCGTCGCACCAGATTATCAATCATAAGATTCCGTCCTAAAGCCACCGTTCACATGAAGAAAACTACCTTAGAAGGAACCCCCGGGACCCAAATACTCCACCAAGGAAAATCCCGTTTCACCTCCCCCACCAGGCTTCGGTGGTAAGGCAAAATAGAGAAGCACCCCTTAGTCCCCACAACATTCCACCCCATAACATACTCTCCCACCCCAGTCTCCCCTAACCCATACAAGAAACCCCATAAATCCAACAATTGATCTTCCTCACAATCTTGGACCGACCGTCGCAGACGAATATCCCAAACCATCACATCCTTACCCCGCAAATATAATGCCACCATAGCTTTCTGCTCCCCTGCAATTTTAAAAATCAAAGGAAATTGATCTGTTAGCAAAGCCTCACCACACCACCTATTCTGCCTAAAACGTTGGATAAAGCGGTACATGAGGGTTTGTTGGGGGGTTTTATGGTGGGTCCTATTACGGGGACGCCAATTCTTGTTTCACACTTACTGTACGTTGATGATGCTTTGATCTTTTATTGGCCGGTGACGGAGCAAGTGGGTTATTTGAGATGTGTCATGTTGTGTTTTGAGGCAGTTTCAGGCCTTCGGGTGAATTTGAGGAAGTCGGAGATGATCCCAGTGGGAACTGTGGACAGATTATCAGTTTTAGCGGTGGTGTTGGGTTGTAAGGAATCGACTTTGCTAGCTACTTATTTGGGTTTGCCTTTGGGGGCAACGTTTAAGGCCAAAAGGATATGAGATGGAGTGTTGGAGCGAATTCAACGTCGGCTGGCAAGTTGGAAACGACAATATCTTTCCAAATGGGGTAGGTTGACTTTGATTAAGAGTGTGGCATGGCGGATAGAGAAGCTCCAGCGAGATTTTCTGTGGGGTAGTGGGGGAGATGCTTTCCATTATCATTTGGTGGATTGGGGATGGATTTTCCAACCGAAAGAGGAAGGAGGATTAGGGGTTCGGAGTCTGGTTATGTTCAACAAAGCTTTGTTGGGTTAGTGGTTGTGGCGTTTTGCGTTGGAGCCGAACCGGGTATGGAGACTGGTGGTGGCTGGTAAGTATGGTTTGGGTAAGGGGAATGACGGTTAGGGGAGGTGGTTGGTTCTTATGGGTGTGGTTTAAAGAAAGGTATTGGTTTGCGTCAAGTGATTTTAGTTTATATATTTGATTTTTTTCTCCTAAGATAACATTTAAAGAAATATATTGGAAAAAAACTTTTGAGATCGATTCAAATCATTAAATTTACCGTTTTGGAACGATAGTGTACCATATTTTAGAACATCCGTGTCAATATGCAATTCGCTAGGATATTAGTGTCTTCTGGTAATTGGACAAAATTCTTTGTTTTGTTCATTTATCTGAATGCGACTATTAAGAGATAAAGGAGTACAAAGAAAGGAAAAGACATCCTTCCGAATGCCTCAAGGAAAGTTTTGGGGGGCGGGGGGAACTAAACGGGACATTAAAGGTTCTTCTATCTGAACCAACTAGGGCTAGCCCAGTTAGCCAAAAAACCCTTGCACCTTACTAGGAGGTTGTGGGTTTGAGTTTTGTCATAGGCAAGACTTCCCCCTCCCCTGGCTACGGCCTCTGATGTACCAAAAAGATGGTTCTACCTAGGGTCTAATCATTCCCTTTTGTGGCTATCACGCCCCAAGCTCCGTGACAACGCCGCACACTCATTTAAGTGAGCATGCAAGGCTAAGAGTCCAACACATAACCAACAATGTAAAATACTCTAATTAAATCCTTAATTGTCATAATGCTAAAATCCATAAAAATTGATCATTCTTATCATATGAAATTATCCACCAAGTCCACTAATAAAATCCATTAACAAAACAATAATCCAAGTACTTAAATCATAGTCCTACTCTCGGCACTCCCACATGTAAAAATAATCTCGCGCAACTCTACTCTTCAGAATCTGAAAAAAAAAAAAGAGTAAGCTAGATAGCCCAGTAAATAACCAACCATCACTGCTAACTGGATCAAGTATACAAAAATAAATAAATAAATTGATAACCAATAACTATAATTTTTTCTACAGTTCAATAAATGAACAATTATTTGTAAGATGGTTTCATAGCTAAAAATAAACAATGTACAATACATTTTAAATGAAAAGCCAACAAGATAATTCAAAGTAATTCGTTATTCAAATCGATGGTTCGATATTCAGATGGTTCAATGATTTGATTCACAAAACCCAAGTCTTAATGACTACGGTCACTTAGCCCGTGACAAGGCCCAGAACCACACGTAGGCCGGTGGTAAAGCCCCAAAAGAAACTAGTTTCTATGCCAATAAATAACCCCCATTGGCTAGGGTCCAAATCATAGTCAGACTAGAGTGATGTTCAAAATTCAAACAATACACAACTTTTAAATAAAATATTCGATATTTTCAGAATAAACGTTTAGTACAATTTTCAGAATAGTTTCACCAAATATTCAAATAATTTTCATAATAATATTCGACGCTGTTTTATACTTGACCCATATTTTATTTTAAGAGAACATGAAGGCTATGAATAAATACTTATAATTTTAAACGATTCAATAGGAATAAAAATGTACCAACAGTGATAGAGGGTTACTTACATCAAATGCTTAAAAACAATATTCCAACACTAACTCCAAACACTCAGTTCTACCACTTTAATCACACAAACCTTAACCAATGGGTGTCCCAAAATCACCAACGTGCTGCCTCTAATCCCTATTGCAGCCTCACTTGAACCTCTCTTCTCTTTTTCTTTTCTTTTTTCTTTTACCTTCTCAAACCCTAGCCTCCTATGTAGCAATTCCCAGCCTCTGTTTTGTTTTCTTCCCAAGACTTAAAGCCATAATATATAGGTGGGCTTATTAACCTAATTTCTCAAAGTTACAAAATTACCCATCTAAGTAATAGAAAATATAATGCCATCTCATAACTAATTCTTTGATATTAATAAATGATCCATATAAATTAATTTAATTACTAATCTATCCAATAAAATAATCCTACACACAATTTGGGTTTTACAGTGGCATTTGGGTTGGTTGCTGAGCTACTACTAACAGATCAGTCTTGCCAATGAAGCTCCTGTGTACTGGGTTGAACTCAGAAGATCAACCTTGTCACCACTACATTCCACTCACAAGTTCTTTATTTTTGCATGGTTCACCTAGCTTCAAAAGCTTTCTCAGGAACAAACATGGTTGATCCTGATCCAAATTGTCCTACTCAACTAGTCCAGTTCCCTGCTGGGTACTCCAGTAAGAATTACCAAAATTTCAAAAAGAAAAAAAAATAAAGTGTTTATAAAACTTCAACCATTTTGAGTTTCTTTAAAATTTGAAATGCTATTTTGTGATTGGTATTTAGGTAAGCACTCACTGTTTTAGCTGTAGTTGAGTACTCTGTCACTCAATTCTTGTTCTCAACTCCTTTTTGTTCTTTCATGCCAGATTTGAGCATCCTCTTCTGATGGATGGAAGAGACAAGTGCGAGTGGGTGTTTCCAATAACTGTGCATGCACCGCTTCTGAGCACTCCACCAGTTCATATACGAAACGAGAAGCCTGTGTCTTTGGAACCCTTGTGGGTTCGTAATTGAAAGTAAGGTGAAAGTCTGACCAAATTTAAGTGATACTATTCTGTCTGTATGTTGTAACTCATAGGATGTAAGGAATACGCAACAAGTTTCTCTCTCTCTCTCTCTCTCTCTCTCTCTCTCTCACACACACACACACACACACACACTGGTAAACTCATAAATTTTGCAAAGGGGAATGCCAAAATAAAATTATTTAGATTTTGGATGTGCCAAAATAAGAATAGTATAGATTTTGGAGACCAAATTGCTATTTTATTTTATAAATACTAAAAACTGTATGGGGCTAAGGAGATTTTTATGAAGTTTGTGTGGGTGGTTCTAAAATTATCTTGATTTTGGAGGGGCCAAAGTAAAAATTATATAGATTTTGGCAAAATTATATGTAGGCTGGTGAGATTTTTATTCAGTTTGGAGGTCCTTGCCTGATACAGGTCAAGGATCTTTGCAATTTTGAAATGGGAAAAAAAACATGTGGCTGATAATTTGGCTTAAGTGCTGAGCTAGGATAAATAAGCCACGTGGTACATTTGTATTGGTTCAAGTATCATTTATTAGTTACAAAGACAGTTTATGCCCTCACTGATTCTTGTAGAAGAAAAGGGGTAGAGGAGAGTTGTTGTCTAGTATGTCGTCTCTTTTCCATTAATGAATACCATAGCTGAGATTACGATGCTCTGTTCTTTTCTTCTCTGTAAAAATTGGTTCTTTCTGCAAACTCAATTGATTGAAACAGAAACCACTAGTTGAAATTCGGAAGTTGCTTAGAATCTCATAACATTAGGAATTGCAATCATTTGTCTTGTTTCTTCAATGTGAAAAATTGTGAGCTTTTTTATTAGAACTGTACCCTGGAAATGTTTGGGAGTGTGGATAATGGTTTATTTTTTTTTATTTTTTTTCTGGTTATAATTATAGATTTGTCGATGAAAGCCTAATACAAAGTTGTGAAATTGCATTATCTGAAGATATCCTTTTGGTTGCACGCTACAACCGGAAGTGCAAGCTCCTAAATTGCTGATTTACCATGGATGCACCTCTAATTTCAGCGGGTTAACTTTGTTATTTCCTGTTGAGATTTGTTATTCAAATGCAAATCGGCAAATCACAGTGCTTACAAGAGATGATGATGGAAGAACATAGACACTGCAACATCATGTGCTCTGTCCCATATCCTAATCTTCGTAAAAGATGCTTTCTGTGATTAGTGAGTGTTGTGCCCTACTCTGATTCTACCTTCATTTTGCTGTCCACTGTATATTTCTTTGGCCTCGATGTGTTTTCCTTTACATTCTAGGAACTGTCTGAAAGTGTTTCCATTTTGTATCTGCAAAGGATCTTCTTTGGTACGAAAATGAAGCAATGATTTTTATTAGGAGAAATTGGCAAACGTGTTCGACTTGGACTAGCCCAATCTAAGCCGAACGCACTTGTTGGTTCTAAATTGGATTTTGGCATGTGAAATTATTTTTCATGGTATTCTCCTTTCAAGTCCTGCAATATGATATTGTTTACAGTCAGGAGTGTTGTGTTTATGGAATAATATCACTAGTGATTGATTCCTCTATTGCTAGACAAAAATAAGTTTGTGGAGAGGGTGTAAACATGGAATCAATTACATAAGAAGTAAACACTTTAATCACTAAGCCATCAATAAAATTGTTGATAATATGATAAGTATATATACTATATATTCAATATTATCTTAATTATTTTTATTAAATCAATGGGTAAAAAATGTAAAATAAATTTTAAGAAATATAAGGCAATTTTATTTCCACACATTAATTCCCTTCACTACACACACTTAATGAACACTTTCTCAATATACATATTATAAAAATATAAATTCTCAGTACACATCTTTATATATCAATATTACCCTCATTTTCAATTTTAAACCCTAAGGCTATGTTTGGTTTCAATTTTTGAATCAATTTTTTGAAACTTGAAAACATATTTTAAAACTATACCAAACAGAGTCTAATATTTTTTATTTTTTATTTCTTCATGCATCCATTCATCTTTTACTATTGTTGCCGTCACTTTCAACCATCCATCGCCACAACCATCGCCATTTCTAGTTCATCCCCCTTCATCCTAGACATCCACAGACAACATTGAGTGATTTGTGGTGAGAGACTTATGGGAGTGTATGGTTCATGATGAAAAGTGATCATAGATAGTTAAGAAAAGAGGCGACGGGAGGGGATTACGGATAAGAAAGGTGACGCTGGCGATAGAGGATGGTTGTGGTATTTTAAAAATAGGGTTTGAGTAGAAGAAGATGATGGAATTATGACATTTTTATTCTAAGACAAAATTATATTAATGAAAATTTTCATTAAGTGTATAAATTGAATGGAATTAGTGTGTGAAAATAAAATTACCCCTAAAACACTATGTCCATAAGGACAAGATTACTAAACTACCCATACATTTAAAACCACGCCTTTTGTTCTACCTCAAACTAGGGGTGTTTGTGGTTTATTTGTAGCTAAAAAATCTCAAATTCGTCATCCGTTCACCTGATTGGCGGGTTAGAAAAAATCAATTCACAGCCGTCCATCGGATTGACAGATGCGGATTGAGCGGATTAGCGGATGGATGCGAATCGGTTTGGCGGTTTAAACTTTTACAAATTTTGAATATAATACAACTTATTTTTTTTTGAATAACAATCCAACTCAACATAACCAAAATATTATCAAGTAAATTGTCAAATACCAAAAAAAAAATACATATAAGAAAACCATGCATTATCAAAACTATTTCATGACTTTTTTTTATTCAAAAACTATTTAATTTGATTTTTTTTTAAATGACAAAATTAAGCTTTATATTTTCCACACAAAAATACCAAATATCGACACTTGTTATTTGATAAAAGGATTTCCAAATTGAAAATACAACAGAATATCTAAACTCTTTTTAATTGAAAACATAAACAGAATATCTAAACAAATTGAAAACATAAAGTTTTACAAATTACTAGTGGTGATTGCAGTTTAGTGGTTCGGTTGTAGCCAAAAGAACCTCAAATCCGCCATCCGTCCAAAACTAGGCAGATTGGAAAAAATAAATCAGCAACAATCCGCTCGTCATTACACATCCGTCCAAAATGCGGCGAATCGATTCGGTTCGGTCGGTTTGAACGGATCGATATATCCGCTGCTCACCCCTTATATATATAACACTATACAACTTATTCAAATTTATGATTATGCATATCTTTGCATTACAATAGCAGAGTTGCACACACAGAGACAAACATACATAGTGAAAATTACAAAATCAGAACCATGTTAAGTTACGTGGATGACTCAAAAATTGTGAAATTTAACATTGCCCAAAGCAACAAAGAGAGAGCCAACATCATGGAAGCAATTGAAATGCATTGATAGAACCTGGCAAGGATTAATGGCTTGTTATGGATTAACAACGTGTTCAATGAGCTAGAGAAGGCAAACACAAGAAATGCTACGAACGCATGGAATATTTGAATATGTCATCGAATATGACAATTGGAACAATACATAGAACTTATGTATTGATTGATTATATATATGATATGTGTTTATATACATTGTGTTGTGTGGGAGGAGATAAGGGATGTACTCCACGATTTAGGGGAAGATAGGGGATGTACCTCTAAATCGGAAATTGTTTGACATTGATACAGCACTAAAATGTGTATCATTTGTGAAGTATGGAAGTGTTTTGTATAAGATTGATACAGCACTAAAATGTGTATCATTGTAAAGTATGGAAGTGCTTTTTGTATGAGATTGATACAACACTAAAATATGTATCTATGATGAAATATGAAATGTTTAATTTGAGTCGTTAACTCAATTGAAATAAAAATGTTGTTGTTATGAGTTATAATCTCATTTAAAGTATGTGGCCAGTTCTGAGCCAGGATTGTGAATCGAGAAATTGGAAAAGGAATGGAATAAAACATGGACACATTGGTCATGTATTTGAAATGGATTATGAATTGAATTATGTGAATAAAACATTTATCAAATGCCGATGTTTTTGTTATTGCTTATACTATGTTTAGCATATTTTTACTGGGCGTTGGCTCACCCTATATGGGACATCATTTTCAAGTACAGGTAGCATGCCACCTC